ATCTGTTTAACGCTTTATCTTATTTCTGCAACACATCGAACAACGAAAATATGCCTTCATCGATAAAACTCATTGTTTATTCTTATTTTATCGTCAGCCTGTAAATGCTCACTCGTTAGTTCTTAATTTAGTACAAACTTATCTGATGTACTAAGGATACTCGTAACACGAGTCAGGCGTTTACATGTTGACCTCCAGGAGTTGATATGATTATTATTAATACCTAAGTATATCTATATAAATATTTATAAATAAGGCTGTGGACAGCGTGCGAGCCGATGTTCAAGCCACTCTATACTATACTATGACCCACTATGTAGAGGACGGTGCCGGTAATATATAACCGTTACATAACATGATACCTGCATCAGATTCATACTTTTTATTCACATAATTCATTTAGGAATTATCATAATACTTTACGTAACTCGCACAAAATTATAATAAATGAATAAAAGAAATATTAATAATATTATTTGAATAAAGACTTCCCGATACATCATTGAAGCTAAATTTGTGAAATTAGCTTTTATTTATTCAATATACATAATACATATTCCATCAAAATCAACAATAGCAATAATCAACAATTGCTATTAATTGGTCCTGATCGTAATTACAGAAGTGAACTGGATAATTGAATTATCATTGTTTTACTGGTGTCAGATTACGGATTGTTATAATTGAGTCATTCTAAATTGTGTTAAGGTTAATGATGGTACTAACCTCATTATATAGAATATAATATTAAGTGCTTGGAATATTATGTTATCGTATAGACGTGCGTTCATGTTATGTAATAGAATCTTGAGATTATTGTTGTAGGCTTTTACATAAAAACATACATATGCGGATTTTGCACGTAAGCTACAAAAATTACTCACCGAAATCTTTTTTAGTGGAATGTTGCTGTTTCTACGCCCATAATCCAGAATATTAATAGTCCCATCCATGACTCCTTGTTCATCCAAATTATATGATTTCTTTAGATATTCCAATGTCGAAATATTGGATGTATGGATGAAATTTTAAAACAGAGTTCTCTGGTATGTACTCCATTACTACACAAATGTATTACTAAAAACAACTGGTAATTTTTAATATCAAGAGTATAAACAAGACTGGCGGGATTCTTAAATTGTCTTTGATGTTGTTTGAAACGGATGAGTAAGTATCTATGCTATGACTAAAACTATAGTAGATAAAAAATTATTACCAACAGGTAAGGTGCCTAGAAGTTTGCGAGCGTTTCCTCTTTAAATTTCCAAACAAATTTTTGATAATCAGACCTGTCAAAAAGTTTATCTCTTGATATAAGCGATGGGTCCCGGGGTCCCACGGACCCATCGTTTCCACCCCAAATAGCTCAAATATTTAGGAATTACTTATACTTGAATATTTTCGCCGTTCGAGGCCTTCAGCAGCATCGGTGGCTACACCCGCATAGAGACATGTCCGTGAAAGATAAGTCGGTATCAAACGACGTTCACCCATCCTCCAAGGTAACCATGAAACTCCGTCAGGTCTCTTCCCTTTAAATTATTTCTAACAGGACAAAATTTTTAGGGAAATCGCTCCTAATGGATTCGCTTGGCATATTTTATTGCATGACGTATTCTAATTAAGCATTCTGTATTAGGTATAACTTTCTATTTCGTTACTTTATTCCAATTTTTATATATGTTTTATTGCTAAATATTTAGACGGTAAAACTGATACTCAATATTTCTATGTCAAAAACCAATGCAGACAGGCTATTGAGCTATAAGTACTCACTACTTCTTTATGAGCTTTTTTATTTAGCTAGCAATAAAATGTATTGTAAATTTGTCAAATCTAGCTGAAATTTGAAGCAGATAGGGTTGGCGTATAACTGAACGCAGATGTTAATAAAAAAAAATAATACAAATTATTAGAAAGACTTATCAATCAACGTTTTCAAACAGTAAAAAAAAATGTTTTCTGTTTGATTTCCGGATTTTCTATTTCTAATAAATTTATAACTCTTAAAACAATTTCTCCAGATAGGATTCGAAGCTGCGTCTTAAATATACAATCTCATTTTTCATGTTATATCATCCTGTTTTACATTAGCTATTTATATGATCTAGATATTTAATAATTTAATTATACCTCTAGTAATATCGGGATCAAAATCAAGGTCTCGATGAGTACGTTCCAAAAATAAATACTTCGTATACATATACTGGTTACTAAAATAATGAAATAAAATAAAATTAAAAAAAACAAACACGACTATTAAAATCGAACTAAAAAAAAGAAAAAAGTTGCATTTTGGCTTGACTCAATAAATTTCTCAGTACAATCGGGGGACTGTTCTATGAAAATAGGTATGAAAACCCGACTGCAATAAGATTTTGTATAGCCAAGTCAAAATATAACTTTTCCTTTCATTTTAAGTTCGATTTAGGCACTCGTGATTTTTAATTTTTAAAATATTTACTGTGAATATTGCATTGAGGTATACGGTCTACCCACCTCAGTGATGAAACTTGGAGGCTTGATATGTACCACAGGGGGTTTTGAAGAAATAGTAATAAATTAATTAAATTAATGAAAAACAAATAAGGTATTATTAAATAATAAAAGATGCGTTTTCACGTTAAATCCCGGAGTGAAGGTGTGTGTTGTGCGGTATATTTGAGGCGCGGGGAATGGAGGTGACCACACCTGTTTCTGATGCAGTTCTTCATGATAATGTGATCGTGTGTATTGATTCAAATTTTTACCCGAATCCTGGGGTTACTTCTCAACCCCGTCTACTACCCAACGCTTGAATAGTGTGAAGCAACAAACAATACAATTTTAAACAATCTTTTATTGAAACAGTTAATAATTAATTTTATTTTTCTTCAAGAATTACACTATTTATATATGTCATCTTAATGCTTAATATTATGTAACCAAAGCCTCAAAACTATATAATATAAATTGAACTCAAGACCTTATAAATAAATGTAACAGTCACTCTTTTATCATATTGACGAACTGTCATCAAATGTTATTTTTATATCATAATTATATTCTGAATAATTTTTTTATTATAATTATATACTGAATAATTTTTATAGTTATAATTATTTTCTGTTTCACACGCCAGTTTTTCTATATTGTCTCGGGTGTATACTCCATAATACAGGGCTTCAGTTACTAATCTTGGAATCTGAGTGATGTATGTGATGTTGTCTTATATTGTTTTAACTATGCAGATGTTAACTGACTTTCATAAATTCTATAAATCGATCTCTTCCATCCTTCGGAAGGCATGTATATCATCCTGGGTACATCTACCGTTGTTAATACCTACTAATCTACACTGGCTCCGGATGGTAGGTTACAGCCCATTCTCTCTATTTGATTACATTATAGAACAGGCTTATCGATAGGAAAGCAATAAGATTACATTAAGTTATTATATACAAAATGCTTTGTCAGCAGTGTTTATGTTTCAACAACGACATCACAATTTTGAGCTGTTTATTAAAGAGTGATTCATTATTTTGCTTACGAACATGTTTTGTTTAGTAATCAATATTACAATTCATTTATATTATTATATTTGATTAATTTTGCATTCACAATGCTACACTGAAAAATATTCATAATGAAAAATACTTGAAAAATCCACTTTGAGATGGGACTCTAATCTGGGCGACAGCTCCAACCACTATACTACCCAGAAGTAACAGGACTAATGGACTTTTCAAGCAGTTTTCATTAGTGTTCAGGTAATCCACCCAACTGCCGAAAGAAATATTTTTATAAATATTTTAACTTTGGATAAAGATGAAAATTCGTTCTAATCGTCCATTACGTCCATTAGGGTTTAATGACGCATTTAAGCTCTAATGAATGTCAAATTTGTATGGGTAATGTCGCTTTAAACTGATGACAATTTTAATGGACGTTTGTGCAACTTGCCGTAAGAATATTTTAAAGTATAGCATTGTAAATGCAAAGTTGCTCAAGTATAATGAACAGGGGTATGTTGTATATTCGATGGTATATCTTTATTATGTTCACAGATTTCTCCACGTATTATAAGCCTACTGTTAATATTATGTTATTATTCTAAAACTTTATGGCCTGAGGGTCCCGTAAAATATTTCGAAATAGAGACTTAGAGATTAATTAATGCTTTCGAGACACAGTCAGTTTCTAGTCGCTTCTTTGCTGCTGCATCGATTCACCTGCCGGTTGGCAGCAGCGGATGAAGATGCGGCGACAGATCGCCTAGATTGTGTGCCGAAAACTTCGGCAATGCTTAGTGACGGAAGAAAGTACTATGGAAATTATATCTATACTAATATTATAAAGAGGAAAACTTTGTTTGTTTGTTTAATTGTAATAAATAGGCTCAAAAACTACTAGACCGATTTTGAAAATTCTTTCACCATTCGAAAGCACGTGTAACATAGGCTCTTTTACATATTGGAAAAAATAGGGTTACGTAAGATATTTGGGTTTTCCAGGCACAAGGTGTAAAAAATCAACCAGATAAGTTACTTATTTTGCGTACGCTGCCTAAACTATAATAGATATAACCATTAAATGTTCTAATCAATCGTAGATCTTACAAATATCTACAAAAAAGTCCGCGACACACTATAACTATCTACGTCGAGTGAAGCACAACAACCATTTTTTTTATTTAAAAATCTTGATTTTCCTTTGGACTACATTTAAACGCATTTATTTTACTCATGCTATTAATCCTTACCAAAATTTCATCACTAAGTACAGTTTATGTAGATAATATTTGGTCTTTGAATGATTGAAATTGGACGTTTAGTTTTGAAGTTATGGCGAAATTAAAATATTACGATTTCTGCTGCACGGCCCGTTGCGAAGTGGACGTCACCATGGCGGGGGTGCGCTTGCGGGAGGGGAGTTTAGTTCCATGAGTACAAGGTACCAGCGGACCGCGCGGGCGAAGCCGCTGGCGGAAAGCTAGTCAGTAATATAAATACAAATTTCTTGCCAAATCCATATAATGAACATCAATTATAGTGTATGTACAGATTAACAGATAATTAATATTATTATGTCCCTGTAAAAGATAAAATACTAAAATACCGAAACGATACTTATGGAAAATTAAAAATATTTTAATTTTTTATTAAATTATTTTACCAGCAAAACTTTGCTATCATAAAGATCCACCATTTTCTTTTAAAAATTTAACTAGAAATGAATAAGCGGTACCCCTACAAAATCGTTTTTTTAGCTTTAATAATGGAAACTAATCTGTCAACATGAGAGGCTATAGTCCAATGATATTTTATTTTTATAATAAACGAGGAATTAGGAATATTAAGGATAGGAAGTAATTGTATACAGCTAACATAGTCAAAATATTCAAGACTCTTTGCCAAAAGTATGTCTTTTACCGTCTGAGTACGAGTATTTTTTTCTGTTGACGATAATGTAAAGCTATACTAAGCACTAATTGAAAATGCTGGCAATACTATCTTCATCAAATGAATCGCATTTTAGAAAAATCTCCATCATTTATCGTGCAACGCTCTCAATAAAAATTTAGTCCATATTCAAAGCTCTAAATGTTCCTGGAACACCCAAGTGTTCGCTTTTAACACCATTCTTCATTCTGAGCTCTTCAATAGTTTTGGCTTCATTCATATTGGTCATATATTCTATATGATCTTCCGAGCTGAGAATATCAAGCCATTTTTCTGAAAGTAAAATATACTGTTTTAATTACGGTATAAAATGTCTAAGAAAATTTATTAAAAACATATCAATAAAGTAGATAAAAGCGTGAATGAATATTATTGAATAATCCTCAACTTACTAAGGCATCTTTATAATAAATAGGTTGCGCAAAAAGTTTCTTCGCATTTTATATGAAAATTCAAAACAGTTTTTACTAAAGTTTACATACATTTAACTTAAGAATGTAGATATTATTTAGTTCGATAACTTTTTGCCTTCTTGTAGGTAGGGACATGTTTCAATTGCTATAAACATTTTGGGGCTTCTGATCCAGAAACTACGACAAGCGGTTTTGGCAGTCCTCGCGTGATGTTAACCTAACTGAAGAGACCGAAACAGGTGGCAATCTGAAGGTGCAATGTCTGGCTTTCTCTAAACTTCTTGCTTTAATCTCAACAGTGTTCGCAGTAAGTTCAAAATCGTTGGTCCTGCTTGGCTTCTTCAAAAATGGTTCGGTTTCATTACGCCGTAATAAAGAATCACAAATGATTCATTAAGTTTCATTCAGTGAGCTCGTGAGGTACCTAAATATCTAACTTTTTTGTGTATCCAGCTTTTTTCAAATGCACTAAAGTTTTTCAACTACGCCGTAACTACTTATATGCCGATCTTTCTCCACTTTTTCAAAAAATGGCATCCATTTTATTCGTAACAGGGCGACCAGAGCAACGTCCATCTTTGAGATCAAAATTTCCAGACTGACAACGCTCAAACCAAATGTGTGGTACTGTCACAGAAACTGCAATAGGTCTATAAACGTCATAATTTATTTTCGCGGCCTAATTGTTGCATTTTTTACCTTTTTTGTAATAACATTTTAAAATAATAGGATTTCTTCCTTAGATTCACTCATTTTGACAGTAAGAGAAATAAATATAAATCACACATTTTCCTAATTTGAATTCAGAGTTATCTTCTTTAAAATTTAAACAATAGCCAGAAAGATTTTATTACAAATTACTATACGAAAAAACTTTTCCTCCAACCACATCTTGTAATTATTAACATGAAAAAATAACATTATTGTTCTATCTCATGAACAAGAAAAAAAACCGTCGCAGTTACTTACGATGCAATTCTGTTTTAGACATTTCTTTACCACCATACTCTTCTGGTAAAATATCTTTTTCGATATGATCGTAAACCTCTTCCACAGTTCTGAAGACTTGAATACGTTCGCCGACTTTCTTATTTAATATCTGTTTAAAAATTGCTACCAACGAGTCTACAAACTTGGATGATGTTATAATATGCATTCCTTTTAACCTGAATCCATAACCGCTCTGGAAATTATAACCGCTCTGGATAGTCAAATGTAAAACAGTATAATAAAGAAAATAAAATTAATCATAATACTCGTAATCATATGAAAATGTATTGATGCAACCACAGAACTACATTTTAATGCGATTAACGGTGAGTAGCTCGAACATCCATTAGGGTTTAATGACACCTTTATGCTCTAATGAATTTAAAATTTGTATCGGCAATGTCACTTTATACTAATGATAATTTTAATGGACGTTTATGCAACCGGCTGCTAGTGATCAAAATCAATAAGTTTTTAAATTTGTATACAACATCTAACGATTAAGGCGGTGATCATTTTTTTAATAAGGATTAAAATATAGCGTAGCTCGGTGGCGTAGTGGATAAGCGCCGCGGCCCGCGATCGTAGTCGTTAAGCAACTTTCGCAAGGGTCGGTCACGGGATGGGTGACCAAAAAATTATTATCTCGAGCTACTCCGTGCTTCGGAAGGCACGTTAAGCCGTTGGTCCCGGCTGCATTTGTAGTCGTCAATACCCTCCAATCCGCATTGGGCCAGCGTGGAGGGTCATGGCCCATCCTCCTTAACCATCCATAAGGAAGGCCTGAGCCCCTGCAGTGGGGACGTAAAAGGGCTGGTGGTGGTGGTGGTGGATTAAAATATAATAAATAATCGACTAATAATAAATAATAATTCATTCTCAACACATCATTCAAGACCTTACCAACAGGAGACTAAAGGTGTGGCTCAAATCAGATATATTAATGTGTTTTACGCAATCGAAAAGGTTCATGTTTCTGAGGTCCAAAACCAATATGATCCCACACGAATAATCAAATCTGCAGACATATTCCAACATCTATAAAAAATATATATACATTAATATAGTTGTCCTTGGCTTCGTCTATTTAGGTCTTTGCCAATCATCATTCACTTTCTTTGAGTTTATCAAATTAAAATATTTTTATTCTCAAATTTTCATCATTTATTAATATTCGTGTTTTTTACTTTTCTTCATATCTCTTATTACTTCTAATATTATGACAAAATCGGGAAGTCTCATATTCTTGATTTCTAGTAATATTTGTTTTGTCTTATACTAAATCTTAACCTTCATGCATTAAGGCAAAATTTTGATTTACATCATTTTTTATACAAATCAATATTGAAATGTTAAAGGTACTCACAGAAACAAAGCATTGGTATAGAGCGAGGAATGTTTCTTGATTAAACTCTTGTATACTATTCGATGTCAAATAAACTCTATAGTGGTCTTTTGTTAACGTTGGCAAAAATCCGTCACACCTTCAAAATGAAAATTACAATATAATCAGTTACAGAAAAAAATATCGTTATAAATTTCAAAAGAGCAAACTAAAATTTATTTCGAGTATTTTTCGTTTTGGCATTACTTGTTATATTTTTATTTTCATAGGAAGTCTTAAAGCTAGCTAATACAGTGTATGAAATATGTATTTATTATATCTTTAAACTAGGGAAATTATAGTGGGTTAAATTTAAGATTAAGCATTAATTTATAATAGATTATTTTACATTTCCTTATGACTCGAGATTAAATAAATTGTGTCAAAAAATTAGTCTACTAAAAAGTCTTTAAATTTGATTAACGAAGTATTAAATAAATCAATATCAACATTAGCCTTGATCAAATTGTTAAACATTGTTCTAGTTCTCAAAATAGAAGAGTTTTGCTTATAATTGGTACCGACTAAGGGCACATGAAGAAGGTTAGGTTTTCTTAGTATTGTATATTAGATATCATATATCCGAATGCCATTAGCTATTTTGTAAAAAATAAGTTGAATTTGCTATTATTCGACAACTTGTTAAACTTAATGAGTTAATATTCCTTAAAAATATGGATTCCAATTGCAAACTATAATTTACTTTTCTGTTCCATTAGAATAATAGATTCTAACCTATTCATGATTGTTTCTTCTACGCCTAAATCGTTTATTTAAAATATAGGAATGGACATAAAATAGAACCTTGGGGAATGCCTAATTTTAAATGAGAAAATGATAATTTTGCACCGTTTATATCTACTCTCCCAAGATCTGAAGCTAAAATTCGACAGCGTTTACACTACTCGTAGCAACCTTTATACGACTTTAGTCTTATTTGTAAGACAACGTGTGATTCTTAACACAATCAAATGCGACCCATCCTTAGTTTTAAATATATGCTCAAAAAGCCACCTCTGTTGTATAGGGTTAATACCTTTAGCAAACCTTATTGCTCAGAATGCAGTTAGATATTAACAAAAAGTATCGTACAAACAATATTTATTTAGTGGTTCTAGAATAATTTCAATTTATGTCTACAGATACAGAGGTTAACATACAACATTGAAGTTATTTCATTGTTAAATCTTGCATATAATAGACTGCTTAGACAACTACTACTCAACTAATTAATATTAAAAATGGATTATCCAAAAAATTTTTGCTAATGAAAAAGAAAATATTATTACGAATCTGCAAGCAAAGAAGACTTGACGTCAAATTTAGTGAAGAAATGTGGTATTAGTGTTCTTGATGTACAAATCTTGTCAAGACGTTCTTTCGCTCGTTCCACTGAACCCTTTGCTCTTATTATTGTTCTCTCTAAATAGTCACGATCTGAAATGGAAAATATGGGGTTGAAATTTGTAAAATATATTTATTTTAAAATACCTCAGTACCTAATATATGTAACGTTATATTATTATTTTATTTTTGCTTATTTGTTTGGTAGTCTTTGAAATATTTAATTATTTGTTAATCGATGAAATTGAAAATTCTTTCACCTCCGGGAAGCTACTGAGATAGACTATGGGGCGAAGTCGTGGGAAAATAGCTTTATAGTGTGGTTACTATTATTTTCTCCTCTGTAGTGACTTGCGATTTTCAGATTCAGATGCGAAGATTTTTTGTGATTTGTTATTAATTCATAAATATTAGTAATTTAATCTTAATTATCTCGGGGAGCTCGCTGGACTAATGTCGGTCTACAATAAGGGAGGAGATTAAGCAACTTTAGTAAAGAACAGTCATTTAAAAAATAAAAGTACATCATAACTTAATCATCAAAACTTAACTTAATCAAAACTAAATCATTAACCTTCAACGTTCAGTATGTTAATTGACGATATCCCTGGCCGAGTTATTGGCATGCATGTCTCAAGATACGCCATCTCTGAGGTCCTGGATTCGATTCCGAGTTTGGTGAATAAAGAAAAAGGACCATTTTTATTGTCCCGGGTCTGTTGTGGCACCGTCGTTGTCTCAAATACTCCATAATATGAATACGAGTACTTGATCTATTCATCTTGTAATCAGAGCAATTTATGGTAGTAGACTATGGTAGCTAGGGGTAAATAAATAAATCAAATGTATTTTTTAAATATTGAATTTAATTTATTAGATGTAAACGTTGTCATAATATATAAAAATCGGTTTATTGTGTTTGTTATGTCCAATAGTGTTTGTTTTTGAAGGTAGCTATACTTTTAATAAAAAAAGACAATCAACACTTTAGTCTTATGTGAATACGGAATCTGTAAAGGGTCCGAAACGTCTTGAACTAAATACAAACGAGATGAAACCGTTTAAAAGTTGTTTCATTTATAGATAATGAGCGTGAAAATATAAAAAATCAATATAAACATGATATACAGTAGCTAACACAGTAGATATTAAATATATATGCATATAGATACCAGTTATTTCTGTGCCCATTGACAATTAAAATAATAAAACACAAAGTGTCACTGCAGCGCCTAATATTAATAAAACCAGAACATGATTGAATGGAGCTTCGAAATGTTGTGTGCTTCAAAAGAATTGTCCTTACTTCATAACTAAAGTTTATATTATATTTGCATTTTGTAACACTTGAACTCTCATTAGGATTAAATAATAAAAAAATAGTAAACACTGTCGCCTATTTTATTTATTTAGCAAATATTTCATAACTAATAATCATCAAAATAAAATCATTATGGCGTGACGACATTGGGATATTTCAAAACAATGGATTGGAAGTAAGAAGTAAAATAATTATATTGAATATTGTTTTTAAGTGAAATTTTGTATCAATTTAAAATACGAATATATAATGTTATTATTAAAAAGTAGCTGCATTGTCGCGACTTCGTCCTCAAAAATTTTAGTCTATGGTGACTTGTGCGTAGGTGCAAGATTTTGAAAAGTAGTTTGAAAAAAAAAAAATTTTTTTATTTAGTCTAGTTTTGTATTGATAATTAGCTTAATATAAATTGATTGTATAATTTATTATAAAACCAAAGTTTTTCGTTTTCGATATTTGTTACTTCTTCACGCTAGAATGACTAAATGGATTTTTTGAAACTTGTTATACTTATATGTAGATAATGCTACGTTATACCCACTAAATGAGCTGTAGCGATAAGATTACCATCAAGCCATCATATAAATCACACGCCGAAACCACTGGCAGAGAGCTACTAATTATTAAACCAAAGTTAAACCGAGAAGAGTTATGAATATCTAGTAAAATTGACCATGAAAGTCCAAATTCTGAAATAACTCAGAGGTGACTGACTGACATAGTGATCTATCAACGCATAACTCCAACCACTGGACGGATCGGGCTGAAATTTGGCATACAGATAGATGTTATGACGTAGGCATCCGCTAAGAAAGGATTTTGATCTATTCTACCCCCAAGGGGATAAAATACGGAATGAAATTTGTATGAAACTTTGTAAATTTTAAAATAGGGGAAGAAACTTTATTTCAGGTTTTTTACACGATATATTGAATAAATATTTGTTAGAAATGCTGCTCAGAGTAACTTTACCACGCGAACGAAATCGCGGGCATAAGCTAGTCTATTATAAATTTTAATCGGTTGTTGTTGTTATTGGCATTAGTGCCTTTTTTTGAGAACATGTTCTCATATTATTGCACACTTCAAAAAATATATATTTGCTTACTGCCCCTGAACTATTTCCTTCAGCTAAACTACTTCGTTAAAAACAACCTTGAACACATCCTTGCACGCAGCGCAGTCACGTCATGTAGCGTCAATGAAATAAAACCTTTATTACCTTTATTACGAAGTAGGTTTAATAAAAATGTTGTATGATGAATGATTATTTTATTTACATAATGGGAATTCTGGGACATTAGCTTATTATTATATCGATTTCTATAGAATTCAAATTCAATATTATTTATTCAGTCTAGACTATTACAAGCACATACGAATGTCGAAAGTTACGCCAACGGTGCGAGAATCTCTCAAACCTTGTACTGAGAAGAATCGACAAGAAACTCAAGAAGAGAAATCTTCCTTGGCGACAATTAAATGAGTCACATCATCATCAGCCCTTTATTTCGACCCCACTGCAGGGGATCAGGCCTTTCTTATAGATGGTTAAGGAGGATGGGGGATGACCCTCTACTCCGGCCCAATACGGATTGGCGGATATTAACGACTGCAAATGCAGCCGGGACCAACGGCTAAACGTGCCTTCTGAAGCACGGAGTAGCTCGAGATAATAAGTTTTTGGTCACACATCCCATGACCGACCTTTGCGAAGGTTGCTTAACGACAACGTTCGCGCGCTGCAACGCTTATCCACTATGCCTCCGAGCTACTCCTTCAGCCATTAAATTAGTTACTTTTCGAATATTAAAAACAATATGTAAATGTGTAAATACGCATATGTAAATATGATACTTTTAAGGATTGTGTCGTGTTAAGTGACGCATTTATGTAGCGTTAAACAAATACTAGATGACCTCGTAATAGTGGGGTCGAAAGAAGTCAAAGTTTAAAAACGTAGTATACGCACCTTAGAAATTTACCTTTATATAGTTATCAAGGTAAATAACTAAGCTGCATTTAAAACTATAAAAAGTATAGCACTGTGAATACAAACTTGATGAAATAAAATAACTTTTATTTATCATTATAATTAAATTTTTAGTAAATTGTGTTGTAAACTATGTAAAAAAAAACAACAATTTTCATTCCTATATAGTTAAAGCCCTTGTAAATCACAACTTATGTGACTTATGTGTATTATAAGAATTTTAAAAATTGATCCAAAAGTTTCGGTACTTATTCAATACAAACAAATAAATAAACAATAAAATAATTATTTTTTATAATATTTGTATAAATAAAATCGTTTCAGCAGCGATGTAGGTAAAATGTTATAAATTTTATACAAAATGCTTTGTCACCAGTGTTTATATTTCAACAACGACATCACAATTTTGCTCTTTTTATTAAAGAGTGATTCATTATTTTGCTTACGAATATGTTTTGTTTACTAATCACTATTAGAATTCATGTTTATTATTATATTTGATTAATTTTGCATTCACTATGCTATACTGAAAAATGTTCATAATTAAAAATGCTTGAAAACTCCACCTTGAGATGGGACTCGAAGCCATGACCTATCGCAACGTAGGCGATTGCTCTAACCATTGAGCTACCCAGCACCTAACATGACTTGTAGTACAGTGCGCATTTTCGTCAATGTTCAGGCAATCCACCCAAATAGCCGACAGAAATATTTTATTACAATAAAATTTATTCTAGTTAATAGGGATGATGACTGGGTAAAAAAATGCAATTCTATTTAGTCCGTCAGTCAGATAATAGAAAAATATTAGATACGTATTTTTTTTACTTCAATTTAACAAGTAATAGCTTAGATAACAGGCATTAAAGTTGAGGAGTGGCTCGCTACGTCACAGTTGAGTAGAAAACGTACCCTAACGTGACGTCATGCGAAATTTCAACTCAATGTAACGCCGTAATTTTATGATTACGAAAAAAATAATAAATACGTGTTTAATATTTTTTAACACTACCTGACGGACAAACAAACAAAAATAAGTCGTCATCCCTATTATTATATTTGATCAGTTTTGCATTCACTGAAAAATACTGAAAACTGAAAAATATGTGAATAACGAAAAATTAACAAGTGCTTGACGAAAATCGTCAGTTTGCGAATAATCAGCGTTCATGGTTTCGAGTCCCACATCAGAGTGCCAAGGACACAGTGGATTTTTTAAGCATATTTCGTTAAAAATATGTCATGTATATTATTTATCAAATTGCATTTTTTATATAATACTAGCTTTCTGCCAGCGGCTTATTTATGCATTCAAACCTCTTTTCAAATCACTCTGAATATTGGTGAAAATCGCATTAAATCCGTTATCTATATTATAAAATTCTTGCGTGAGTGGCTTACTGACTGACTAACGGACAACGTACAGCCGAAACTGATGAGCGTAGAAAGTTTAAATTTGGAATGAAGATTCCTTTGGGTGTGTAGAGGAGCACTAAGAGAGAATTTTTAAAAATTCCATCCGAAGGGGCTAAATAAGGTGATGAAAGTTTGTATGAAACTGCGTAAATACAAGTGCTAGGAGTTTTAAATTTTGCATGCAGGTTCTTTTAGGACGTAGGTGCTCACTGAGACGGGATTTTACGGAATTCGATCCCTAAGGGGGTAAATTAGGAGATGAAAGTTTTTAGGGAATTTTCTCATTTCTGGACTTAAAACTATACCACGCGGCGCGAAGTTGCGGGCAAAAGCTAGTGTAGTATATAAGTTCTTAGTGTACAAACAGCGGATAACGACTTTGTTTTATACTATGTACAAATATTCCACACTATGCTCTACTTTATTATTAAAATCTTCTATAAATTATACTGATATTTATTTGTGCCTCGGGTCCCTTAAAGTTTCACTTAACTTTATAACGCTATATTACAATCACCAAAAATAATCTATAAAAAAATAAAACTTAAGTATCTAAACAACATACAAACAATATGCGCATGTTATTATTCCTACTGTATGTAGTTATAGGTACTTACCAAACTCCTTTTTAATAAAATGTTGCTGTTTCTGCACCCACGATTCGAGAATATCAATAGCATCATCCATGGCTCCTGGCTGATCCAAATTATACGTTTTCCTGACATATTGCAGTGTATCAGGATGGAATTTCAATAGAGGGTTGTCTGGTAAACACTCCATTGCTGTACACTCAAAGATCTCACGATATTAAAATTATAGTAAAATTGTTGACTTGAAACTCGCGCCTACTCGCTCACTTGATTGAGATTGACTGACTGAACAAAGTAAGTTCACTTGAATTTAAAATAGTATTCTCAATGATAATACGTATTAATTGAAGTTATATCAGCTTTAATATTTTCAGGTCAATGTGTAAAATAAACTTCTCTGTATTATTTTGTTAATGGGTTTCCTGATTTTGTCGTTTCATATTTGAACAGCCCAAGTTTTTGAGCTACTTAATTTGGCATCAGAGCAATATTCCAATGTTTTCTAATATCTATTTAGTGAATTTTAAATTCATAATCATCACTTACTAAAGCAGAGGTAATCATAATGATATATTGGTTTTTATCTAGAAAATACGCTTTTGTAGGTAGGTTGGTCCCGTAGCAAAAGGGAAAAATCAGGTTCATATTAAGTAAGACTCCGTTGGTTATATATCTATGCGTATGTTTGTCACCAGGATCATTTTCATAGATGATGTATTTCTGTGTCCACTATAACATTATTTTTATTGTAAAAACGGAATAAAATATATATTTAATTGGGATCCCGTACAAGAAACGTTCTATTGCATTTTTTTTTATAAATAATGGACCCTTTAGGTACAAGTCCTGCTCACTATTGGCCACTTTTTCGGTCAATGTCACCTGGAACTGATGAGACTTTTTATGTGTTTTCTTTTAATTACACTGATTTGTCATAGTACTATTTTTATAAATTAAAGAGTTATTTATATTTTTGAAACGTGCTCTATCTCAAAATTTATATCTCTTTCAAAAAGTGCATTTGAACTGAAGCTAATTCTTTCTTTTTGTATTTACACTCTCTTATTTTAAATGTTGATGGGTCTCATATTTTAACATTTTGAAGTATCTACTTTTCAAACGACCACTCGCACGCCAAGGAATAATAATGTTTTTGATTTATTTCACGCACACTATCCAAAAATGAAACAATTTTGAAACGGTTTCATATCGGTTATATTTTTCTGTTATTGACGTTTGTATCTTTACAGGTTCCGGGTTCACATAAGACCAAGGTGTTGATTGTGTTTTTAATTGAGAGTATAGCTACTTTCAAAACAATACTATAGGACACATTCAGAATACAAAAGAACGTTTACGTTTATTAAATTAAATTATTGTAAAAATACATTTGACTTATTTACTTACCGTAAATTTGGAACTGATGGTAGTTTACGGTTACGTTACGTTTCATTTATTGATAATGTTTTTTTTTTAATACATATAGCCCTTATTTTAGATCATTAAGGTATCGAGTTTCAACTTAGAAGTCTTAATTTCGAATAAAGTGGTACAAACATACGGACGTACAATCAAACATTTACGCCGAATCTAAAAGGAATTCCGTTTTTCGCCAATCAGCAACGGAATAAATAAAACTATTTTTTATTTAGGAAATAAATAAAGTATTAATATGTAAGTCCTTTTATAAAGGACTTTATATGCTGACCTTTAACTTGTAACCGGTGTCTTGATATCCCTTGTCAAGGTCTATATCAAACTTGTGAACTAGTCTATTAGATATAAATGCAATGACATGTTTATTGTGAATGATAAATAGTGGAAATTAGTTACTCGGAGGCGTAGTGGATAAGCGCCGCGGCCACCTTATTCGAGATTAAGATTACTAAGACCACTAACAATGTTCACAAGGGTCGGTCACGGGATTGGTGACCAAAAATTATTATCGCGAGCTACACCGTGCCACGGAAGGCACGTTAAGCCGTTTGTGCCGGCTGTATTTGCAGTTATTAATACCCTCTAATTTTTTAGCCAGTGTGGAAGTCATGGCCCATTATCCTTAACCATCCATAAGGCCAGAATCTCTGCGGTGGGGATGTAAAAAAGCTGATGATGATAGGAATGAGAATTGTAAGCAGAAACAATATATGCATGATATATTATATAAAAATAAATCACACCAAAATCTAAAAATATATATAACTCAATGGTGACTGAATGACATAGTGATCTATCAACGCCCAAACCACAGCTGAATTTGGCATGCAGGTATTTGTTACGGCGTGGGCATTCGCTAAGAAAGGATTTTTATCCATTTTACCCCCAAGGCGATAAAATAGGGGATGAAAGTTTGTATGAAACTTTGACAATTTTAAACCGATCGGGCTGAGACTTTGCATGCATAAAGCTACTATGACGTAGGCATCCCCCAAGAAAGAATTTTGATAAATTCCACCCCTAAGGGGATAAAATAGGGGATGAAACTTTATTTCAGATATTTTACACGATATAATGAATAAATATTTGTTAGAAATGCTGCTCAAAGTAACTTTAGGACGCGGACAAAGTTAGTATAATATATACAGGAACCGATAAAAGACAATGAAAATGTAACAAGGACCAAAGGCAAAAAGAAAATGGATAAAATGTAAAATATAACAATTAACGATTTTAAAAAGGCTGTTGCCTTTCCAGTTATTAAAATCGTATATATGTTACGATGATATACACAAGTTTCTTAGACGTAATTATTGTTTTTTCCTTTAAAATAAACAATATTCTATGATTAAGAATAGCTCTGAGTACTATTAACTTTGTAAATTTTATAGCTGCTTATAAAATTAACTACGTGACTTATGCATAGCAGAAGTAATTATGCATCATTAGTAAAAATATCAATAGATTTAACCTTACATTGTCCCAAACCAGTTATTGCAAGTGCAATACTTACTGATTTATAATTTGGCTCTATCCCGGATAATACCCCTAAAATCTGTAGCGGTGGAGCTGAATAAAAGTAAACTTTTTGAAATAATCACTTGTTTTATTTTTTATCTTCATTAACATAAGCTTTACGTGGAGCCAATTGTCGTCCTTTTTAGAATCTCCCCTTTGCTTTTCCAATTGCTTCTTATTTTCTCTTTCATTCATATACACCAGTCATTCTATCACTCAAACGTCGTTTAAAATACTATATACATATTACAAAATTTTGCACGCGTGTTTAAAAACTCATGAAATCTCAAACTTTTTTAAATAAACATTGCGCCTTTCTAACAAAGTTACATAGAGGTTAAATTATTAACCTCCTTACTGTAGTTATACATTGGAGGATTTAATGCCGAAGGAATTCTTTACCAGTCAATCTTGGGGTAATATGGAGACATTGTGATAAGGTGCATAACCAAAACAATTAAAAAGTACCTAAAAAATGCATAATAGATACATAAATGATATTAATTTATTATAATATTAAATATATACAGATATTTACATAAATATAATACATCGACTGACCACTCAAGAAATCAGCATGTTCCAAAATGTAGTGGCGTAACTTTGTTTTGAAGGTATACCGGCTAGTGGACATCCTAAGGTCTAAGGGGAGAGAATTCCTCAAAAGAGTAGACTTAACAAAGAATTATGTACGAATAACATCTGAGTGATGAGAAAGACAGAAAAACATTTAGTTCGGAGAGAGTAGGCTGGAGAGTAACTAGTTACTTTTTTATTTACGAAAAAACTCATTTTCCGTAAGTGTTGATGTTTATTTGATTGTTTGTAAATTTTTAGATGCGATTTTTGTTTGGAGATAGTTAGGAAGTTAAAGAGCTCATCATCGTCATCATCTACCGCACCACGTCCATAGCTGAGCAAAGGCCTCCCTCGTAGATTTCCATGATGATCGGTCCCATATCTAGAGGCTACCCGCAAGTTTTTTAGAATCGTTTGTCCACCTGATTGGGGGACCACCCACTGAGCGTCGTCGGGTACGAGGTCGCCAAAGGCTTTCTTGTAGTCTACGAACGCCAAGCAGAGTAGCCGTTTATACTCTTCGATCTTCTATACAAATTGTGAAGAGTGATATAAGCTACTCTTAATCGCAAAAATCCTCTCATTCCCATGGAAAGATACGCTACCTATGTCTACATTAGTTGACTTTTATTTTTTACTTTCCAATCATCTTGCACAAAGTCTTGGTTTGGTGTCTATACGTGTACGTTTGTCACCTATTACACCTTGATTGGTTGTCAAGGTGGAAGAGGAACTTGTCAGTGTCAGTTCAAAGTAAAACGCGTGTAATTTTGTACGCGAACATACCAGTATTGTATAACCGTGCATTGGAAGTATACGCTGGGGTGGAGCTAGTTTTAGTGCAAGCGTTAGTAGGACTTTTATACTTCAGGCTAATTCTGTGAAACTATTATATATCTAGTAACTTCCACAATCAGTATCCGCCAGATTTACTGTGCGTCGCATTTTCACCACACACAAATTCGACATTGACACAAACAACACAGATTGACAGACAACAAATGAAAAAAATGACATTTTCGTTTATGTTAATTTAGCAAAATGCTGTTATTTTAATATTACAAAAAGACAATTTTATTTATTTGTAAAGATGTGAAGCTTATGCCATATTTCGCCACTTGACATGCAAAGTATTATAATTACCTACCGTGTAATTAGATACAAAAAAAAATTAAAACAGTAAATAATTCATAAATTACTATAATTATTAGGTTATTGTTTACTAAAAAGGCGAACTAAATAATTTTTTTATCAATATGCAATAATCATTCAAATTTGTCATTTAAAAAGTAGTTAATACTATAATAAACCATATCCAGTAACAAAACAAGTCATTGTGAATATAAAGTAAAGCAGCTCAAACTCGACAAACAGCATGTTCCTATAGCCACCTCCCAGTTCCATCTTCAGACCCTGGATATTAGCTTGGTTCATAGACATTGATAAGATAACAAGCCCAAATTTGACGTTGTAGCTTTATTACAAAGTGTTTGTTTATAGTCACTTTCCAATTCCACCTTCAAACCGTGGATACACTATCTTCGATTAAAGACCTTGACAAGCCAAAAAGACTCAGAACTAGATAAGATTGCTTCGTGTAATTACAAAAGTTCTACTGTAACCTTCCAGCTCCATAATCATAGTAGCTATATTCTATCGTATTGGGTTAATGGATTATAAAGTTCCCATTGCCACATTAAAGTTTTGTCATCAAAACCTGGGTACTACTTGGATCAAAGACCTTGTTAAG